CCTGGCTCCTTAGAAATCTCACAAGAGTAAATAGTAACATGCAAATGATACAAAATTCTAAGAATTTAACTCTGTTAACAATGTTAGCTGAGTTGAAATAACCAAAGTTACATGCAACCTTTAAAAATGTGATTTCACAGAATTCTTAGTCTTATGTCTCAAGTTGTTAAAATGCAAACAGGGCTTTGCATTGCCACTTTTCTTGAAATCAAGTTGAGTAACATCAGTGGTCCATTTATTCCACAATGATATGTAGTGTCCGCAAATTTGTCCCTGAGAACCCAGAAACTGCCCTCAGTTTTTGCTGTTTTCAAAGAGCCTAGCTAATGCAGAATTGGTACTATGGAGTGAGTTGCAGGCAATAGACTATAGGGCAGAAGCTGCTCCTACTGGGAGTAACAGCCAAATCCAGAGCATTAATTTCTGGACGTAACTCTTAGAAGAAAAAGGGATCAGTACTATAATCACAAAAGCAGTAATATTAGGATCATATAGTTTGCCAAATAAAGGCATAAATGACTGACATTTAAGTGTTATCAGCAATATGTAAGAATATTGCTACTGGTCAGCTTTTTTGGGGGAAGAATCACATTTTATTATTCTCATTATTTAGCAAAGAGGCATTCAGTGTTTACTGAAGCAGTCACTGTTCTCTGTATTTTCAAACACATCTCCTAAAAAGACCAGGATTTTCATCTCCATATTTTTAGTGAGGCTCTAGTTCTGCTTTCCTTCTCAACCTGTATTTCACAGGTACAGGTTATGAACAGTCCAAGAATTTGAAATGAATGTTTAATCTTAATAGCATCCACTTTATATTAAACACTATACCTATTGTTTGGAAACCTAGACTTTGACCATACCTAATCCAAAATCATTTCCATATTTGTATAACCACTTACTTAGGAAAAGACTTATGGGCAACCTTTTCTAGCCACCGGGACCTCAGGTAGCTTCAAAAACTCTTTAGGGAATGGGCTTTCATGACAGCATTCACTAGACCCGTCACCAAATACTGGCATCTATTTTTCCAGTACCGAGAGATGACAGAATGTAAGACGTTGCTCTTTAATCTCTCACACAATTGGATCAAAGAGAGATGATTCACCCAGGTGAAATAACAAAGACAAAGAAATACATAATTAAATAAACTTGTTTGGTTACTTCAGTCCCTTGCCGTATATTTTCCTTTCTCTTGTAAGATTTTAAGCTTTAGAAAGGCCGTGACTTGTTCCATTCATTCTGGCACCTGACACCCAGCATTGTGCATGTTAATACTCAGTATGTCATGTTTGAATGACTGGATACAGACTATGTGCATTTAGTAATAGTGAAGGCTCAGTAAGTTAATACATATAAAGAGCTTAGAAAAGGGTCTAATACTGTTTAATATTAATAAATTGAATAATAAAATAAGTTTTAGAATAAAGATTAGAAAAGACTTTTTAGAAGTCTGCCTTAAACTGACCTTGGAAAAACAGGTGAGAACTGAATAGAAAGCATATATTTGATGAGAGTATTGATGAAGGCACAGGAATAAGCACGGTATTTAAATATATAAGGAAAACTAGGCTGACAGGAAGCCTAAAGGTATAGAAAGGTCCCACATCCAACATTTGTTAAACTGAACTAACTCCAGGACATCTATCCTTTCACAATGATGAAGCAAGAGATTATTCCGAGTCTATTGCTGAGATGAGGGGGGTATAATCAAAGCTTACCCATCATTCAACTTTGTATCCTTAGACACTATAACCTAAGAAGCAAAAGAAATAATTTGCTATACTGAGTCCATTCTATCATTTAACTGTATTAACACCACATATATATCAAAATATTTTAAGATAAATTTTAAAACAAATTTAACTTTATTTCTTCATTTTCATTTAAAGCTTGATTTTATAAAACACACACACAAAAATTTTTAAGAGTTTTGTATCACAGTAAATTAAACAGTAGAAATACCCATTGCTTCATGGGTGCAAGTTACATAAATTAAAATCAAGTAATTGGAAACGTATTCAATATGAAAACTATACAATGAAATAAATGACAAAAGGACGTAATAAAGCAATATATCATTACTTATGGATTATTAGTTACAAGATTTAAACAAAGATTCTGAATATTCATACTTCTTTTGCTGTATTTCATATTTAAATTTCTCCCTACCTATTTTGAGTCAAGCTACTTGACCAAAATGTCTGCCTTAGATAAGTACTTAGCTTCATAGCAAAAGTTGTTCCATCTACAGTTACCACCTTTAACGAAGTTAACATTACAATTCTGACAAAAATCTGTTGGTTCCCTTTGAACAATGTGCAATAAATTCACTATGTCAACCCTAC